GCGTCCTTTCACAATGGACATTGGTGATCTCGAACCAGAATTCCACCGTAGTTTCTGCATTGATTCAATTCAAAACGCATATGAGCAGAAGTGGGAACTTTTTGGGGGTTTTGATTCTGTATAGCCCTTGAGATATATCCCAAGATTTGAAGCTTTAATTTGAAGTTGATTGATCGCATTGTTTACATACTTTGAGTGAGTGATCAGTAACCATGATGAACCTCTTATCTTTACTTATAGGCAGCATTAATTGTACAGGTATGCATATTTCCTGGCAAATGCCATGAGCTGGGAGCCAAAAACTCTGCTGCTTTATATGAACATTCCTTGTCTTAACCATTAAAGTGCTGTAAACCTATTGAATCCTGTAGAGTTTACTTGTTTTTTACTTCTACATGTTTGGGTGTGGATGTCTGGTCTGAACCACACTGCACTTTCACTAATTGTAAAGTTGTTTTTCACTCAATGAAAAACATAGTCAGTATCGCCTTCTAAATTGGATGGTGGGAGTTGGAAGATAGATAGCGAGGTGATTTACATTTTTAAAATAAAACGCAATTTATAAAACTGTTTCAAAGGAAGTAAATCATAATATAGGTCAGAGAGCGAAAAGAGAAGAGGAAAAAGGATAGAATGATGGGAGATTCAGATGTAATGTTAAAAATGTATGTATGAGAATTGTATTTTTAACATTTATTTAAGGAATTCATGGTTAAATTACAGTATTTATCTGAGTAGCTGATTTTGAGTAGCTTTAATACTGCAATAGTGCTGTTCGTTTAGCATCATTATATGCTGGAAACAAAACTGGTTAATCCACAAAGGGAGTGGGAACACTTGGGTGGAATACTGAAAGGAACTCTCTTCTCTTTTCCAATACTGTAGTGTTATGGGACCTTTAACATCCATGTGAAACCAGGCAGACGGAACATTGGTTTTAATTCTCATTTGAACAACACCACCTCTGACAATAATCCCTGTAGTATTGCATTGGAGCATCAACCTAGACAATGTGCTCAATTTCCAACAGGGGCTTGAACCACAACCCTTTGACCCAGAATCAGGATTGCTATCAACTGAGTCAGACTGTCTCCTTAATGCAGTGTTCCAGGGCACTGCTGATGACAGCACCTGGCTCATCAGCAGGACCCGGAAGGGCAGACCAGTCACTGGGGGCAGGCAGGGAGTCTGCCCACTCAACTCCTGTTAACCCTGCAAGCCAAAGCCCTAATGGGGAGGGTGGTCCTAGCTGGACAAGCAGCGAGAAAACTTGCCAGACAGCACCTTATACTTTCCTGAATTCAGTAAGTAGGATGCGTCCCTCCAGGGAGAGAATGTGAAGGCTGCTGAAACCCTCGTACACGCATTCATAACGTCCAGGCTTGACTATGCAAACTCCCTGCTTCTTGGCCTCCCCAACTCCTCCCTCCATAGGCTGCAGATCATCCAGAACTCTGCAGCCCATGTCCTCTCCCGCACAAGCTCTGAAGTGCCACTGAACTGGCAGTATGACGTCTACCCTAAGGTAGATCTTGGTAAAAGTGCCATTGGGTAGAATTTATATGTTTTATGTTGTCAAACAAAATGGATTTCTGATGAGTTTAGTTTAATCTGACTGCCGCATGCCAGTATAAAAGATACCGAATAAGGGAAAGTGTATTGGCCAAGTGCTTACACTTGCATTGTAATGAAATAGCTGATACCTGTTTTGCAGCAGCTGTGAATGATGTTACTGTTCTCTCAGTATTTCTAAAATATTTGCTTATTCTGCACATGTGATGTTAAAAATACAAACCTTGTGCCAGATGTTCTAAACCTAACAATTTGCTTGATTTGAACCACTGCACATTTTGCAGCTTGTCCCAAACAATATGTACATATGTTGGATTGTCGCTGACCAGCTTACACATAGCTTCGGGGTGAGTTAGATGCCATTTCAGCACTGAGATCTGAATTTCCCATTCCTTAGTTCTGTTCTAATTTATATCAACCAAGAAGAAAACTGATCTTTTGATGTTGTATAATCATGAGCATTATTCTGACCATATAAGGGTGCTGTAGATTAAGAGAGATTTAGCAGTTCTGTTCTCTACTGGAACAGAATGCTTCATGGCTCTGCTTGCATTCACTTCAGTCTGTGCTTAGTTTGATCTCATTTATTTGAAGTAGAAAATGGCATCTGCTGCAGTATATGAAATCCCTTTTGCTAAAAATAGTTAACATTCCCCTTAGTATTTGAAACCTGGCCTTGTCCTCGCTAAGACTCTTGTACTGTAGTGGTCAGACAGTTAGAGTGCTCTTCCATTAGATTTGTGAGAGGCACACAACACACGTAGGAAGTAATCTCTTTGTTTAATCCAGTTGATGTTTATATATAAACAAAATTGAAGAAATATTATTGACTGTATGTGGACTTCACCATCTACTCTGAACATGTCACATCAATAAAGAAGGATACTATCAAAATATAGAGTGATATGTAATAAATGCCATTGACTGTACAAGTCAGTAATAGTAAAAGTTTGAGTTAGAAGAGTGGAATGTATTTAAAGAAATACTCCAATTAACACATTCTGTGATTGGCACAACTGAGATTTCTTCACTGCCTGAGGTTTGAATGCAGAACATTACTGTCACCAGTCGATCGTGATAATTAGTTCAAGCATCTTTCTGATTTTCTCATGGAGCTGGCAGATGTGACAACTGTTTCACAGATGATCTCTATTTCTTTGAAACTGTTGGATAGAAATCTGAGAATCTGTAAAGAAGACTGAGTATAGAAGTAAAGAAACTGGAATTTTTTAAAGAAAAACGTTTGAGCTAGATTCGGTGTTCTTTAGGAAGGGTAGGAGAAATAAAGTATAATATTCCAAATGTGTACATTTAATTTCATTCAAGATAACTACAGTAATTTTATTCAAGTTTTAAGAACAATGCTTTAAGATCCTTTGATTGCACTCTTGGACTGGATCAAATCAGATTCACTTTTTCTCAACCATTCTGCTGTAACTACCATCACAGAAAAGCATCTTTGCTGCGCCAGTGTGGGTTTGTCTTATTTTCCAAATGGTGCACTGTTAAGAGTAATCCACATTTTTATAATGCCTTTTCAATGCATCTCAAAGTACTTTATAGGTAATTGCTGGCAAGTGTAGTGACTGTATGTAGGCAACCTATTTGTGCCAACAAGGTCCTACAAATAGCCCTGAGTTTAATGACCAATTAATCTGGGGATTGTTGGCCAGGGCACAGAGGAAACTCTTTTTTTTCCAGCAGTGATAAAGTCTACCTGAACAGATACATGAGATCTAATATCTCATTTGAAAAGTGGCCTTTCTCATGTTTGGGAGAGAAGAGGTTTTAATCTCATTAATCAGGTTTAGGTACAGATACAAACCAATTTATATTCAACTTAAGTGACTTTCATGTCGTGAGGACATCACAAAGCTTTAGATCCAGGTCTTGAGGACAAAAGGGACAATATAGTAACACACTAGAATAGATTGTTGTGAAAATATTCTTCATTTCTTTACTTTACAAATGGATGAATGCAATCTGATATTTATCCCTCACTGTTACAGAGAATGATCCCAAAATCACCCATTCACAAATGGCTGTTGATATTTGCAGAATGTTAAATATAATATGATTCTGAACAACAAACAGTATTTCTAAAAGCTGTGGTGAAGTTAATGCCCAGAATTCTGTAATTGCATCTGCAAACAACCCAGTGTGGCATACAAAATGTAATCTAATGTTTCATAATCGATAATGTATTGTTGAATTAGTTGACAATATATAGAATAAGTCGTAGCGTATGTCGAGCAGATTTTTTGTTCAATAAATCACAAATTCATTGGATATTAAATGAACAGTGTGTTTAGTTTCACTGTAGATGTGTTGTTTTTGGAGTTGAACAGCAGTTAATATTGAGAAGGTGCTAACGATGGTAATCTGGCATCGTATTCTGCAAAATCTCATTAAATCTCATTTTCCATCTTCACAAGAAAATCTGGGTCTGGAACCTTTGCATATATTAGAATTATTATTTATCTTAACAGAATTGTCATCATATTTTACTAAAAAATACCATCAGGTCAGAAGTCCTGTAGCTCAGTGGTTAATAATAATAATATAATAATAATAATAATCCTTGCATTTGATATAGCGCTTTTCACGTCGGGAGGACGTCCCAAAGCGCTTCACAGAGCACACTGTAAAGTGAATTGACTGTATATTTGTGGGCGAACGCGGCAGCCAATTGCGCACAGCAATGTCCCACAAACAGTCGTAGATTGAAAATGACCAATTTATTATTGTTTTTGGTTTTGGAGGGATTATTATTAGGCTCTGTGGGGAGTAAGGAAACTTGCCCAAGGTTTCACCCTCTGCCTGGAATTGAACTCAGGTCTCTCGCTTGCAAAGCGAGTGCTCTAACCACTGAGCTACAGGACTCCACTCGCTTAGAGCACTCGCTTTGCAGTGAGAGACCTGGGTTCGATTCCCGGCAGGGTGAAAACCTTGAGTAAGTTTCCTTACTCCACACGCCTGATAATAATCCCTCAAAAAAAAACAATAATAAATTGGTCATTTCAATGCACGACTGTTTGTGGGACACTGCTGTGCGCAATTGGCTGCTGCATTTTTCCCACAAATATACAGTCAATTCACTTTACAGTCTATTCTGTGTCTAGAAGACCTGAAAAGCGTTATATAAAATGCAAGGATTATTATTATTATTTGAGAGAAAGAGTGCTTTCTTATTGCTATGTTCGATCCACAACTGTTTTGGGACACTGCTGTGAGCAATTGGCTCCGCGATTCATCCACAAAATACACAGTTAATCCACTTTACAGTATATCATGTGAAGCACTTTGAGACATCTCAACAACGCAATAAATCGCTATATCTAATGCAGGGATTATTATTATTTCCTACTTGTAAAAATGCCTTCAGTCACGTCTTGTATCTACCATATATTTTTTCAAACTTTATGCAGATTTTGCACAGCCAAGTAATAACAAGGAGAAAGCCATCAATTAAAAAGGCAATGCTGCAAGAAGTTGTATAGGTTAGTTTGTTGTTTTGACCTCATGCACAAGAAGCTGTGTTTTATTTCGATGCTTTTTGAATACCAGTAGGCTTCTTTGTTTAACCAATCCGTTTACTATATCCTTAGGTTTTTAAGGGTATGGACTGAAACCAAAACTGTCTGCATATGTACTGACAAATGGACATTACAAAGGGTGATCCATACACCTTGTATTGATTTCCCCACCCCACCTCTGAAGAGTTTTAAAAGTAAGTTTCAAGTGATTAAACTGCATTCAAAGATTTTGCTGTTAAAGTATTTGTGTTCAGTTAATTTTTTTTTCTCTTCACATTTACATTTGAAGCCATTAACCTGAGTGAACCTACTACAAGTTGATCTTACATGCAAACTTTTTACTTCTGAAGTATATCTAAGGTGCTAAGTTTGTTATTAGTTATTGTGAAGTGATGCAAATCTTTTGACTGAAGAGTGATTTCTTGTAATAACTAAAGTGCAAAAATCTTGCGTTTGTCTCTTCATAATTATATTTCAGGAATTAGAGCAAACAATGAGAGCATAGTTATTTTATTTTTCTGATCCAGGTATCCCAAGGAGGAAAGTGTTTTGAATCTGAAAATGAAATGTTATAGTGCTGGTGTGATTGAACAGATTATTATACTGTCTGATAGTCAACACTTCATTTCATCACTAACTTGTTTCATTGAGACCAGAAAGCACAACACAAAATGCGTTTTGTTTTAAGGAATTGAAACAAATTAATATTCTAATTGAGCCACTTTATAATGTTTAATAATCTTCCCAGCTAACATATTCCACAAATCTCTTATGGTAATTGGAGGAAAGAAACCTGCATGTATGAGGTGATTTGTATCTTCAGGTGCTCACAGGAACTATGGAGAGCTTGGAGTGCCTCGGTTAGAATATTTATTTAATGCAGAAACAACTGATTCCTGTTCAATAAAGGGAAATTAAACTTTTTCTTAAGGGCATGGTTATGATTTCTTGTAATCGAATTCTATTAATAGGTAACCCATTTAATGAATCTGTCAGTTTGGGGTCTTGGAAATCTATCTGCTTTTCATGCTTATTTTTGTTTGCCATGCAGTGGCAGAGGCAGACTATTGGTATATTCTTGTTCTGCATTGATTGATTCTTGTGTGCACTTTTCCTGGGTTATAATTGTCCAGTTTTATCAAATTTGTGCAGAGTTGATTTCCTACCTATTCTGATTTTTTTTATATTTGTGTAATTTTGCATGTAATAAATATGGAGGATATTCATGAAGTTACTTAGCCAAATAGCATTGTCTGTTTACTTTAGTCTTTTGGTTCCTAAGATATGAGTCATTGTCACACACTGACTGCGCTGTTACTTTCACAGCTGCTGGATGGTACAAACTGTTAGGAATAAGCTGCTTCATTCACATTGCCTCACAGAAGCATAGAACAAACGAGTAATTCTCTGAGGGAAGATTTTCTTCTTCCACCAAATCCAAAATTAGTGTGAAATCATTCTGAACCCTTTCAAATTGACCGTTTACAAAGATTGTTCAACGTGACCATAAATCTATAAGGTCTTTCATATTTTCTTTTTTTTTCCCCAGATGACTGATTGAAAGCCTGGCGACCAAAACAAGTTCTGCTGTGGGTCAGGTAGCATATCCACATGATCACATGACTCTTGATATGGACGCAGTCCTGTCAGACTTTGTTCGGTCCACAGGGGCAGAACCTGGTCTGGCAAGAGACCTGCTGGAAGGTGAGTTGCACTCTATTATGTGAGGCCATCTTTAATCTTAAAAAGGGATGGGCAGCAATTGTTTTGTGCTTGTGTTTGTAATTCCCTTTTGTAATATTCAGTGTGCATTACAGTATGTTCTATTATAATTGGTTGACCTAACTTTATGGAAACATGAAGGTTGACCTTGTTATATGCAGTGTTTTGGATCAAAAAATTAAGACCTTGTATTTCTGTTGGGGTCCTGCTTCCAGGTTGTCAGGTCTCTACTGAACAACAACAACAACCTGCACTTATATAGTGCCCCTCACGCCGTGTAGCGTCCCAGAGCTACAAAGCAAAGTCATGCAGGAAGCTGGTCAGTCAACCGCAACTTCGCTCATGAGTGGCGCGCTTTCAAGAAGCGTCATGGCTGACCGGCTGGTCTTCTGCACGCGTGTGCAGGAAGCCAGGCAGTCCACCCAGTAGTTGGAAATGGCATCTGCGTCGTCCTGACCTTGCTGTGGGTTATCTAGTTTTGTGTTAGAAGCCGGTAATTTACCTCACTTCCAGTAACCCTGGTCCACAGATATCCTTCTGTTTTAAACACTTCAGTCAGATCACCCTTATCCTTCCGACCTGTAGGAAGTATATCCCAAATTAATCCAGTTCTCATCAAAGCTAAACCCCTTCATCCCAATCCAGTGAATTGTCACTGCACATCCTGCAAGCTCTCCTTCTAAACTGGGGAGTCAAAGTTGAACACATTATTCAAAAGGAGGTCTGACTATAACTGTAACCATAGCAGCATTTCCTCGTTTCTGAATTCTAGAGCTCTTGTTGTTAGATAGCCTAGCATCCTGTTAGCCTTTTTGATTGCTTTTTGTATCTACTATACCCTTCGCTTATCTAGTGATTCCCCATTTAGACTGCATTTCCATCTGTTGTTCTTGTGTTCAGTGTATTTTTTGTGTGTTTGATACCTCACACTTTACTGTAGTAATCTTTATCTGCCTTAGTTCCAAACATTTGCTTAATCTATATCCCTTTTGAAATATTCTGTGCTCTTTACATTTTACCGCTTTGTGTCATCTGCAAAATAGGATATTCTCTCTGATATTCCTATTTCCATTTCTTTTACATACAGTATGAATGGCACCTAACTCCATTTCATTGGTGACAGCTCATGCCTGCTGGTCAGAGAATGGCCCTTTCATTACCGCTCAGCTTCGCAAATGATTTCCTATCCATGTTGCTAGATTGCCTTCAATTTTCATGGGCTTGGAATTCTTGATTGTCTATTTTGAGGCTTTTAATACAAAAAGAAGGAATAATGTTGGAATACTACTAGACGGGAGGATGTCCAGCGCCTTAGGACGTCCTCCCGACGTGAAAGGTGCTATAGGAATGTAATTTTGTATTAGGCCATAATTTTTGTCTTCTGTACCATCACTGCACTATGCAGCATAATTTCACTCACCAGTATTTTATAGATGCTCAAAAAAATTACTTATTTTGTATCGGGCACTCTGTTATTGGAAAGAAGAGCAATGGAAAATATGTAGCATCGATTCTGTAAGATGTGGGAGGTTTCAGTTGTAAAGAGCAGTTTCAGAAGTTGGGAGGTTTCACATCAGTTGAGAAGGTTGAGGTTACCTGATGGATATTCAAAATTATGAAGGTTTCTATGCAAATTTCCCCGTAAGTAATAATACATTTATTTCCATTGGTCATTGATTCAGTACCAAGAGACCACACATTTAAGAATCACAAAAAAATACAAAGTTAGAGAATACACAGGTATCATTCAACACAGCTTCTTTACGCAGTTGGAATATTGAATTTTCTGTGACAATTATTGTTGAAGTATAAATTTTTTTTAAACAGAAATTTTGATTGATGCTTGAAAAGAAGAATATTAATGGATATGGACCTCAAGCAGGAGAGTGAGATTAGACTCTGCTTATTTGGAGAAAATCACCACCACAGACTTGCTGCACCAATAGTCTTGCATTTGGCACTTTAAATTCCATAATTCTATGAGATCTATCTGGATAAGTGGATGATATAGTGTTCTGGAGAGTCCCACAGGATCAAGGCAATGTACAGCACCGGAAATACCATTACAGTCCATCTGGTGGATCCCATTTAACTAATGTTGTTCATACTTTTGTGAAGATTGTGAGGAGGATAGCAGAATTGCAAAGGGATGTAAGGGACTATTAGATATATGGCAGATGGGGTTTAACATGGCTAAATGCGAGATTGTAGTGGTATTTGGACATAAAAATGAAGAACATGCTCTAAATGGGGAATGGGTAGATAAGCAAAGGGATTTAGGGGTTCAAGGACATAAATCATCAGAAATCTCAATTTACAGGTGCAGAAAGCAATCAATAAAGCCAATATAATTGTTTTGTAGCTTAATATTAATGTAAAGGTGCTCAGACCTCTTTTTGAGTGTTGTATTCATTTTTAGGCACTCACTTTTAGCAAGCATATACTAACCTTGGAGGACATTCAGTGATGATTCATTATATTACATTATAAACACTCAGCAGAACCGGCAGCATCTACGGAGAAAGGAAAGTGAGTCAATGTTTTGGATCCATGACTCCTCATCAGAATGAAACGTTGCCTCACTTTCCTTTCTCCATAGATGCTGCCTGACCTGCTGAGTGTTCCCAGCGACTTCTGTTTTTGTTTCAGATTTCCAGCTTCTGCAGTATTTTGCATTTTGAGTATCATTTGCGATGTTTAAAAAGTGGATAGAAACTTGGGATATAAGGGTATTGAGGAGTATTTTAAAAAAAAGGAAAATTGGATTAATGGGTCTGCCTTGATAAATTGGCTGAATAGATGCAATGGGTTTAATGGCTTCTCATGTGCTCTGTGCTTCTAAGTAGATTAGACTGAGTAAGCCTAGCAACAGCATTGAAATATCCAGTTTACTTAGAAGAGAATAACTGTATATAGTAGAAGCTCAATTGCAATCAAGAAGGGTTTTATACAGCTGGATTATTTCGCCATCTAAAAGCTGTAAATATAATGTGCCTTATATGGACTATATATTATCAATAAAAATGTGACTTGTTCAGGGTTTATGTTGTGCTTTTATTAAAGTATAAACACGTTTTTTCGGTATGCCTGTTCAAGAACAGCTGTTTATCCATGTTGAAGCAATCACTGGCCAAAAAAGGCAACAGTTTTGCATGAAGCTACCGACTGAAAGCATCCATTTATAACTTGGATCTCAGGCGTTCTGAATCTGCAATATAACACTGGGTCTCAGTAAAACAAGGCTTTAGATAAAACCTGAATGAAAAGGAGTGAAGACATAGGCCACTAGACAGTTTGCTTGACAGTGTTTTCAAGGCAAGCTTATGGTTTTAGCTGGTTAAACTCCAGCAGTACCCAACGCACACTCTGGGGTTCTCCAACCCTCGGTTCTTGCAAGCCTGCGCCTAATTCTCTCCAGAATTAGGTAAGCAAGGTAAGTCCCTCTAGGCTAAGAGGGTAAGTTCCATTCCAGACACTGGAATTTCCATGTGTATGTGGCATGCTGGAAGTCTGTCTGGTTTGGACATTCTTAAGCATATCGGCAGGTTTCCGAATGTATCAAGACACCCATCTGACAAAGAGGTTCTTGGAGGAATTGAAGCAATTTGTTATTCATGCATCAAGCTACCTCAAGGCAAAGCGTGGAGACTTGGAGGTTAAAGAGATGCAACTATCAAGCTTTTAAAATCAGTTTAGGTTGACTGCAGAGAATAAATTTGTAGTACTCTAATTCTGTGATCTTTAGAAAAGTGAATGTATTGAGAGTGAGTAATTTTACAGAATAACGATACTGAAGAAATGAAAAGCATTAATGAAATATAATAATGAAATGAAGACTAAAAATAATTTTGTGATAAAATAAATTGTTTTTAAATCAGTTTTTAAGAACATTACCACAATAATTTATATTTTTACGGGACTCTTCACATCGAAAGGACGTTTCAAAGTGTTTCAGAGACAGCTAACTGTGAGCCTGAAGTGGGGGTGGGGATAGAAAGGAAGCTGGCGGGGTGTGGGGTTAAGGTGACCGAAAGTGTTGTTGAAAAGTTTTGTCTTAAGGTAGGCTTTAAAAACGGGAGAGATGGGTGAGGCAGAGGGTCTTCAGGATAAAGTTCCATACATTTTTTTCAGTGGATGAATTGTTCCTTATCGGAAGCTTATATTTACCATTGGATTTTTCATAATTTCATGTTGATAAAGTATGTTGATAGAGCATCAAATTGTACAGAGGATTAGAAAGATTTTTGGCATGTATATGAACTCGGCAAAGATTCAGCAGGTTGCCTTGGAACCCATCCAGAGGTGCTGTCATATTTCTGTGTGCAGAATTACACAATTCTGCTTTGAATGCTGAATGCAGCATTCACACTGTAATAGCTAATGCAATGCTGAAATCTCTGCTTCGTAAACTTTAGGCACTTAACTATATTTGGCATTAAATAAAAATGGGAAAAAATGTCTAACTCTAGTCTCTTCTAATTATTCTGTAATTCTGTTCAATTATTTGGACAATAAGCATTTTTTTAATAACCAGTTTCTGCAGCATTTTTCTCAACATCATCTTCCGCTTGTCGCACTGAATAATCATCCAACATTAGCATCTTAAACTATGACAAACCCACATACCATTTCTGTAATGGTAATAAACAGTACTGTAGAATAAATGGATAATTTTATATAGCTGAAGTTTACTGTAATATGGTGGTATTAAAAAGAAAATGTGGTTAAAATAATTAATAATCATAATTTATAATGAGTTTATACAGAGATAGCCAGATTAGAACCTATATATTTGAGTATGATTTTGCTGTGATAGAATGTCTTAAACAGACAAATATTCAATTGGACCACGCCTTTGGTCACCTCCCTCATCCCCTTCTCCCTTGCTTGGCATCTAACCCAGTCTCTGTGAAATGTTCCAACACGTTATCCAACATGAAGGGCGCAATATAAAAGCAAGTCTAGTATATGAATGAGGATAAAAAGAAACGTGTCCAAGGGGATTTTATAGAGATATATAAATTCTTAATGGGTTTGAGAAAGTAAAAGCAGAATAATGCTTTCAAATACATGAAGGCAAGAGGTCAAGAAGACACGGGTTCAGGAGAGACATCAGGACCTATTTCTTTGCACATGGGGTAATTAACAGTTAACGCGGATTACCAGGAAGAGAAGCCAGGATGTATTTAAAAACAACTGATGCATTTATGGCAGGGTGCTGTTAGATGCAAAATTTGCATCCGAGGTTGAACTGATCGCTTCTTTGATATTTGGTATTCTGCTTTCTATGGGCTGCATTACTGGTCTGTTGGGATTGTTTGTTGCCGGTGACAAACAAAAGATGAGGTTGTTGATTGATAGCCCCAGGACATTTGTGTCTTCTGCTGTCAGTCTGTCCCAGAATGTTGAGCACTTGAAGTGGTTTAGGTTTCTCCTGTCAGTGGCGGTACTGATCCTGAGCAGGATTTAATTCTGTTGTCCATGCCAGTCCCAATCAGTACTGGAGGTAAATTGGCCTTGCTCTACGCCAAAGGTGCTCTGTGTCTACAAAGTCCTCTGTTTGTTAGTACAGTTCTACTTGTGCCAGCCATGCAATTTTTATGACTTACTTAATCTTTACTCTGTGAATTCAGTGCAGCAAAATGTGAAGTGGTGGGGGGGGGGCAAAAGAACAGAGAATGGAAATATCCTCTAAATAGTAAAAGTCTCAAGGAGTGGAAAGGAAGAACAGAAGGATTTGGGGTACAAAGATGAGTAAAAGTGAGATTAGTGATATAGATGGGCAAACCAGTTTCTCGGTTTTATGTTCAGAGCCATTAAATTCAAAAGTAAGAAAGTAATCATGAATCTTCAGATGGTAATTTGTCCACAGCTGGAATTTTGTGTGCAGTTTTAGTCTCCACCCAATAGAAAGATTATTAGAACTATAGTGAGAGTACCATGTAAATTCAATGATTCATGATGAGGGGATATAACAATGGAGGATGGAAAGTGTACCCTTTCTGTTGAAGCACAGAGCTGGGGGGGGGGGGTTATGTGATACAGGTGTTCAAAAGGAGTGAAAGCAACACAATTTAGTAACTCTTAAATGAGCGTAAAACATCTTTGACATGTTCTTTGGACATTTTGAGATGTCCTCCTCCCAACATGCAGATATCTCTTGCACTGGATAATATATATTGTATCTTACTTTTAGATAGCAATAACCAACTGTTTTAAATTTGTAGGAAAAAACTGGGATCTGAGCGCTGCTCTAAACGACTTTGAACAACTTCGACAAGTTCACACCGGGAACCTGCCTCAGGTGTTCAATGAAGGAAGCTTCTACAAGCAACATGAAAAAGAACCATCCAACCAGGTGACCAGGTGTGAGCGACCTTGTGTGCAAAGACCAGATGACCTTGCTCAAGGTAATGCGGTTTTGCTGCAGGTTGTAGCTTCCACGCACGCATACACGCACGTCTCTTCATTTCCCCCGAAGGGTTTAACCATTTATTGTGAAATAATGGGAATCACAAAATGTCTGATTGCTGTTCACCATTCAGTGGTATTTTATTTACTATAAATGTTGAGGAATTTTAACCCCAGATCATAACATTTCAGAAATCCTCTACTCAGTTTAAAATATCATTGTAAAAGCTGAAACAAAAGTTAGAACGCATTTATTATCACTTCATTAACAGCTTCATCTCTTCACATTTTACTGCAGATGATCTATGGCTGTCATCTAGGTTGGCTCTTTGGGAAAAGCGTTCTCAGGATAAACAGTTCTTCTTTTCAAACCCTAATTTTTCTAGGCCTACACTTCAACACCAAACAACATTTCTCTTTCTGTACTTAAATGGGATATAGATACTCCCTTCCTCACTCCCTCCGCCTCGCCCCCTCTCTTCCCACTTTCAGGTCTTGGCTGAAGACCTTTCTTTTCGGCAACACCTTTGGTCACCTTCCTCTTGCTGGCTCGGCCCCGGGATCCGTTACTGTGAAGCACTCTGAGATGCCGTCCGGCGTGGAGGGCGCTATATAAATCCAAGTTGTTGTTGTTAGCTGCACTGATGAGACTGACCCTGTTGCAGATATAGATACCGTGTGAATAATGAGTCATCACATAAAATAGAAATGGGCTACAATACTTCTTCCATCACGAGTTATATGGTCACTGTAGTACCACACCGTGCCAGCCCTCTTTCTCTTTTGCTGGTTCACAGTTTTTCTCACTCTCTGCCTCTGCCTCATTTTCCTCCCCCTTTCCTCTTTATAACCCTGCACTATTTAAAGACAAATACTTATGTCACTTACATCATGTTGCTAGATCACAGTCAAAATCTTTTGTCAGCCCTGCCTGCCATGTTGGATTTGTGTTTGAATTTGGATTTGTGTCACTGGTTTGGGAGCTTTTGCTTTGGAAAACCATGCAGTCACTTTTACCTTTGCCCAAAGCTTGGATTTGTGTTTCTGTGGCTCGTAGTAAACTTGAGATTGGACAAAACTTGGGCAGTTAAGACTAATGGGCTCATGGTGCTCTCCCAGCATTCAGTTGATTTGTTTTTATCTTTAGCAATTGAGTAAGATTCTGTGTATGTTGCTGTTGCTTCAAAAGGTCTTGCAGAAATACAGAACGTTCATTGTTGTAATTTTTTCATTCTTTATAGAGAAACGCCTTTCTCGAGGAATCTCTCATGCGAGTTCAGCCATTGTCTCACTTGCTCGATCACACGTAGCAAATGAATGTAGCAATGAGCAGTTCCCGTTAGAGATGCCCATTTATACTTTCCAACTACCTGACTTAAATGTGTACAGCGAAGACTTTCGAAGCTTCATTGAAAGGGATTTGATTGAACAGTCCACCATGATTGCGTTGGAACAAGCAGGTGAGTAAATTGTAGCAGATATATATGGTTGATATTATTGCACTAGTAGTATAGTAAAGCAAAAAAGAATGATGGCTGACCTTTGAACAGTTCTACTGAGCCACATGAGCCTTGCCAGTAGCGAACAAAATAAGCATTGACATCTTAGCCCATTAATACTTTACCAGCAGTAGGAAAATCATGTCCTAATCATGGACATGAAGACAGGATGAGGGCAGCTCACAAGGATATTGACCAAGTGTGCTTGAATATACTTTCATTGTGCAGGTCAGATCTTTGTAATGATTGCTTTTTAAAGCAATTTAATAAGGACCTTTGCTTGATTGAGCAATTTCACCAAAGATTAAAAAGCACTGTTACAAAATCCTAGCTTGAGTTATCAATAACAAATGGTCAATTGATTTCTCCCTTTCTCCTGGCTCCAAATATGCCTCATATTTGTCCTTCTGGCTCAAACATTATCACTGGATCCTTCCTTACAGGCACTCTGCTGCTCTTACTTCTGATAAATGAAGCCCCATGGATGTCTCATCAACTGATGTATTTTTTTCCCTCATCATTCCTCTGGCAATTCAGCAGCTGCACTCACGAGGCCAAAAGCAATGCAGTGTCTCTGATGCCATAAATTAACAAGTCAGATGATATGGGGGCTGGGAATGTGTGGGGGCAGGCAAGAAGGAAAATGAGGAATAAATATTTTTTTCCTGAAGAATAAAGAAATGAAGAATTATGAACGTTGTCCTTTTCTCTAATTGTTCTTTTTTGGGATTCTCACTTATCTTGATATTTGAACAATTCAAGATCATGGGCTCTTGTAATCAAATTAAATTACATTAACTCAGACTAGCCACCCACCTAGTATGTTTTCACTGGAAAGAACTAGTGAATTAATGCTCTGGTGTTAGATTCCCCATACTCTTGTATGGTATGCAAACAGGCAATCTTTAGTGCCATCTATAATTTACCAGATATTTTATTTTGGATATCATTTATCTTGTGACCTTGTGCTTGCCAGAGATCTAGCTGGCCTCTCGGTATTATTTCCAATTAAAGCAATTATCACCTTGTGAATTTGCATAGGATGTTGTCACATTATGTAGGTAAGACAGAATTAATTTTACACTTGGCCAGTGCTTATATCTGTTGGGAGCAAAGTACAGAGGTTCCTAAACAGAGGTTAGAAAGCAGGTTTATGCCATGTACCTTCATGCGTTTCTAGGTAAATGTAGATCCAATTCCACTTATACAGCGATGAATTCTTGGGCCAATTTGCACAGGGTTTCTCTCAAGGCCATTTGTAAAGTAGAACTTGGGCAGTACTGTCTTGAATTGGAAGTCTAAAACAAATAGAGCTGCTAACTGGAAAATGTGGTTTCTTAGAAAACTAACCAACAAAATTCCAGTGTGCTATGATCTACTTCTGTTCTGTGACTGTTGCACAAATTATGAATGATCAGTTACTTATTANTTTTTACTGAAGTTCACTCCGCATACAATTTCCTCCTAAAGAATTGTCTGATAGGGGTTGGTGCTTTCTTGACTCTCATTCATCAGGGTCTTGCGGCCACATTGCATATTGGTGCTTATAAACCAGTATTCCAGCTGCTTGCTCTAAGGAAGAAAGTGATATGTAGTTCCAGTATATTTATACATTGGGAGAAAGAAAAGTCACTTGACTGTAAAAGAGGGAAACATTGGTATCTTCTCTCGGAGGATGGACAGGATCCTTCTCTATGTGGAGCTTGAACTTAACTCAGAGAATGAGGAAGGCTCTTTCCAAAGATTTTGGATGTAGTTCCTGTGAGATAATGTGTATGTGTCCTGTGTAATTCGACCATTTGAAATTGACCTGATGCAAACGTCATTCTTAATGATTTAGGCCTTTTTTTGACCTAGAGTTCTTTGAACTAAAATGACTTTGATGAGGAATATTGCTCACAGTGGCAATCAACAACAACAACATTGCATTTATAAAGCGACTTTCACATCGGGAGGACATTCCAAGTGCTGGACAGTTGGGTCGGGACCCGAGCAGGGGGAAATGGACAGGGGGAGGGAAGGGAGGGAGCGAGGAGGGGGTAGAAAGTCGAGAGGGGAGCTGAAGGCACGGTTGAAGAGAAAGGTCTTGAGACTGGCCTTGAAGGAGGAAAGGGAGGAAGCAAGGCGAAGGCACTGGGATTTGGAGTTCCAGAGCCTAGGGGCTGAGAGGCTGAAAGCCCGGCCACCGATGGTAGGGCGGTTGGGACCTGCAGCTTGTGGAGGGAGGTGCCAGGAAGGCAGGAAGAGTTCCCGTAGTCCAGCCTTGAGGTGATAAAGGCGTAGACCAGTGTTTCAGCAGCGTGAGGGGAGAGGTAGTGCCGTAGTCTGTTCGTAGTCGGTGGTGGAAGGCAGTGCCAGTTGTGGCGCGGATGTGGGGAAGAAAGGACAGCTCAGGTTGAACAGAACCCCGAGGTTCCTGACTGGCTTTGAGAGGTGGAGAGTGCAGCCTTGGATGCTGATGCTGTCAGCGCCTGAGGTGCGGAGGCGCTGACACGAGCCAATCAGGAGGGCCTCAGTTTTGCGCACATTGAGCTGAAGAAAGTTGTCTCTCATCCAGGACTCGATGTCAGACAGGCAGCTGTCAGGACATCGGTGGTCGTGGAGTTGAGGGTAGACGAGGAAAGGTAGAGTTGAGTGTCATCTGCGTACATGTGGAAGTTGACCCCATGTCTGCGGATGATGTCACCAAGGGGGAGCATATAGAGGGTGAAGAGGAGGAGACCAAGGACAGAGCCCTGAGGGACACCGCACAAGACAGTGCCGGGGCTGGAGGAAAAGCCGTTTGCAGAGACAAAATGAAGACGGTGGGAGAGGTAGGACCTAAACCACTCAAGGACAGGGCCTTGAAGGTTGAGGTGGGAGGACAAGCGGTGGAGGAGGATAGAGTGGTCGACCATATCGAATGCAGCCGATAGGACGAGAAGGCAGAAGGAGCCCTGGTCGCAGATGGTCAAGGTGTCATTGGTGACCTTGACCAGGGCGGTTTCCGTGCTATGGGCAGCACGGAAACTCGACTGGAGGGGTTCGAAAAGTGAGTAGGTGGAGAGGAAAGAGCGCAGCTGGGAGGCGACGACTCTTTCGAGAACCTTGGACAGGAAGGGGAGGTTGGAGATGGGCTGGTAGCTTGATAGTTGCGATGCATCAAGGGAGGGTTTTTTCAATGAACCAGAGGAGAGGGATAGGTTGATGGTGTCTGTGATAAGTGGAGCAAGGAGTGGAGTGGGGATGGGGTCCAGGGAGCAGGTGGTAGGTTTCAAGGACAGGATGAGTTTGGTGACAGAGGGTGGGGAAATGGGTTCGAAGGTGTGTAGGGGAGGATGGGTAGGAGTCGGAGTGTGGGAGGGAAGGGTTGGGGTGTGGGTGGAAGTTGGAGGGGCAGTGACCACGGAGCGGATTCCCTTGATTTTGGATTCAAGGAAATCCAGCATCTCCTCGCAGTGAAGGTTGGAGGAGATGACTTGTGCGGGGTTGAGGGGGGACGGAGGAGTCGGGATGCGGTAGAGAACAAAAGCTTGGGGTTGTTCTTCGCCTCCAGGATTATCCTGGAGTAGAAGGACGACTTGGCCGAGGCTAGAGTGGAGTGGTAGGTTTTAAGGAGGTCCAGTCAGATTTGCTGGTGGACCGTTAGGCCAGATTTGAGGCAGGTGCGTTCAGCGGCCCGCACCTGGCTCTGCAGTGAGCGGAGGTGGGTGGTGAACCAGGGGGAGGAGCGAGAATAAGAGACAGTACGGGAGGTGATGGAGGCAAGAGTGTTGAGTGTGGAGGAGAGGGTGTTGTGGAGGAGGGTGAGAGCAGAAGAGGGGTCAGTGAGGGATGAAGGCCAGAGGGAGAGGAGTTCAGAGGACTCCCAAGACCACAACATTAAGAGGAGCTTGCTGTGCTCTGCACTTTCTAATGTTCTTTCACGGACTATTGTTAATCATAGTGCACTGCACGTATTCAAGGACATTCCTAAATGATGAATGGCTTTTTGGAAGTCATTGGAAAAGGTCTCAGTAAAACAATTGTGTTTTTGTTTAAAGGCAAGGCAGAATTAATATATATTTGTTGAACATTTCATATTTTACAATATAAAGATACAAACAAAATCAAACATTTAAGATAGTTTACTGTCCTGATAGAGTGATGGATAAGGCTAATAAAATGAATGTAAATGCTAATGTGTAGGCCTTCTGAGAAATAGTTCAACAGAAATGTAACCCCCCTGTTAGATTCCTGGCAATGGATCACCGCGTGACCTTGTAATGATAGTTTGTAGGAGTGTGGTGAAAAAGAAATTCCATTAATTTACTGTGATTGGAGATTTTGATTTTAAAAACCATGAGCACCTATGAAAATAAATACTGTTAGTGTTGCCATCATTGGGCTGGTTCCACTGTCACAGTAAGCAATATCTACAATGCTCCAGGGACGCTACCAAGGGAGGTAATGTCATTCAGTGTCATATGATACACATGCGAGTTCCTTGCTGGAATCTGCATGAAGCTGAGATTGGTGGGGGGGTAGTGGAGAAGGGGGGTTTGGAAGAGAAAGAAAGCAGAGGACAGTAATGACATCACTCTACAACAACAACAAGATTTTATTTATAGAGTGCCTTTCACGTCGGGAGGACGTCCCAAGGCGCCGGACAGTTGGGTCGGGACCCGAGCAGGGGGGAAATGGTCAGGGTGAGGGGAGGGAAGGGTGGGAGCGAGGAGGGGGTAGAGAGTCGAGAGGGGAGCTGAAGGCATGGTTGAAGAGAAAGGTCTTGCGACCGGCCTTGAAGAAGGAAAGGGAGGAAGCAAGGCGAAGGCACTTGGGGATGGAGTTCCAGAGCCTCAGGGCTGAGAGGCTGAAGGCCCGGCCACCGATGTTAGGGCGGGGGATGTGGAGCAGACCGGAGCCAGAGGAACGGATGGTACGGGCAGGTAAGTAGGGGGATAGTAGGTAGGAGGGAGCAAGGCTGTGAATGGTCTTGTAGGTGAGGATGAGGATCTTGAATTCGAGCCATGCAGAGAACCAGGTTCCTTTCCTGGTTTTCTGCATGGCTTTCTGAAAAGATTAAATATTGCAGCAGGAAGAATAGCACCAACACTTTAATATTTGTTGTCTTAACAGGGAAGTTTCCCCAGGCATGAAAGTATTAGAAAATTGGCATCCAATGCTGCTGGAGGCAATGGGAGAAACCTTGTAGCCAGTTACCTATAGGGAGGCACAAATAGCAACAACAGCTCGCTCCTTCACCACCATACAATATGACCACAAGCTAAATTGAGTTTGTCTGCCCATCTTATGGCCATTCTGGGAAAGGGGTATGTGACTGTGCTGTAGGTGCAGGATATGCATTTCATACTCAGGTGTGCTGCCTACCAAGGGCGAAGAGTTCTAGGTACCTGCTATCAATGTAGTGAAGGTTCAAGCCTGCGCTTAATAGATGACCAATTAGTGACTATCTCTGGTGGTGGTGGGAGGATGGGGGCAACAAAGTGATAATCTGGGACTGAATTGAGAATCCTTGGTGGCAATTTGGAGGTCTGATTTATTGAGCTAGGCAAGTCTGGACTACTGAGGTATAGAGAGATTTAAAACGAGATAGATGAATAAATATTTAATTGTTACAACTAATGTCCAAAGTAAATTGATTTTGAAGTGCTGAATGTTCAGATGCCGACTTGTAAAATATAACAAGTTGCAGGATACCCGGTGAATGATGCTGACTTCTTTGTTTTAGGTCGGCTAAATTGGTGGTCAGTTGCTTGTTCAAGTTGCAAACGCCTTCTGCCATTGGCAACAACAGGAGATGGAAACTGCCTGTTACATGCAGCTTCTTTAGGTAATTTCTGGTTGAAGCACATTGCCTTTTTTTGTTGCAGTTTCTTTAGGATGTATACCTCAAGATCATTTCATTGATTTTTTTAAGGAATGTGGGGTTTCCATGATCGAGATCTAGTGCTTCGAAAAGCTCTTTATGCAATGATGAAAAAGGGCACAGAACGAGATGCTTTGAAGAGAAGATGGAGATGGCAGCAGACCCAGCAAAACAAAGAGGTTGGTGTGAGTGTATCAATGGGGATTGTGTAATGGTCGCCTTGGGATTGTAGCTTATGTATAAATGTTACTGCTGAATATGCGAAGAACATATTTTAGTGAGTAGGTGAAGATGTGTCTAAGTCCCAGTATTCGCACCAACTTTATTGATCAGTTGCATCAACTCTTTGAAATGTGGAGCATATGTCAATAATGAACCTGTTTCTTATTTGGTTAACTAGTCTGGTTTGGTTTACACTGAAGAGGAATGGGAACGGGAATGGAATGAGCTGCTTAAATTAGCATCAAGTGAACCTCGAACGCATTACAGTAAAAATCCAGGCACCTGTGGTGGGTAAGTGGGCTGATTTTTGTGGCTGTTAGCAATCTGTACCAATTTCAATATTGTATATTGAGACCCAAAACATGATTTCTAAATGTATTCCATAAAATTGACTAATAAACTTGAAGTAGGAATCCTCCAGTACATCACGTCGAGCCATCAGGTTTTTTTTTAGGTTAGAACAGAGATATTAGATTGGCCTAATGAACTGCTGGTTACCAGAAGAAATTCCCATTTGCAGTTCAGAATAGTTATACAAAATACAATAGAAAATTACATTTGTATAGCGCCTTTCATGTCAGGAGGACGTTATCAAGGAATTCTATTAGAAAATGCTGCATTTTAGTTCTCTTTATGGAATACATTTCTATGTGCTTCTTCTGTCTCATCTGGTTCCAATGTATAACAATTGTTCAAATAGTGTGCAGTCAACAAATTTTATCCTAAAGTGTTATGTATTCTTATCAATGTAAATTATATCAGAGCAATGAACATAGATACTTGTTGCAGTATTAGATATTGGTAATTTAATGTTGGTAAATTGCAGGTCAGGTCAGAACAGTTTAATTTGCTTTTAAGCTAAATTTTATGATATTATTTGCAGCATCTGGTAAAGACATCTAGTAATAATAAAAGGATGTTTTGTAAAATCTTGCTGTACGTGCCAGTAGTTGAGATCTAAATCTAATTTGCAGCCATTAGCATCCGTTTGTGGAATGGAAAGGAATGAAATTTAAAGCAACTGTAAACCAAAATGACAGGAAATAAATGATTTTTTAAAAAATCCAGTACAAATTGATATTCTGCACATTAAGTTAAATTGTCATGTTTAAGAATGGGTTTTTTACACAGAACAAGTTTGACCATAACTGCTGTGCTGCACAATAATGCATGTTAATGTGGCACTTCTGCATGCTGGATCCCTGGAACAGATTGAGAGCTAGTTTAAGGGAGGAAACATGGATTAACAAAAACATGCAAGCTTGGTTTGGTTATCTCTGGGTCAGATGGCTCAGCACTGTCAGCTCTGGGTCAGATGGTTCAGGTGGACATGAAAGAAAAGGAAGTGAGCTTCTCTGTGTCCTGGCCAACAATTCACCAGATCAAATGGGTCAATTACGTAATGGCTGTCTGTGAGACCTTGCTGTTTTGCAAATTGTTTCTGTGTTTGAGCACTGATAGCAGTTAGCTGTGAAGTTTTTGAGATGTTTCAGCATTACAATTGCAACACTGAATGGAAGGATTTTTTAAAATTACAAAATGTGCATTTGTCTTTCAGTAACTAGTTACCTACATAAATTTTAAGTGGTTAATCTCAAATTATATCATAATCTTTAATTATCTCTATGGCCATTCCCAATGAAGGGCTTTTGTAAATTATTGCTGTATGATAGGCTTTAGGTTTCTTAAAAAGATGAAGAAAGGTTATTCCACTAGTGTAATTGGATTGAATTGTATACTTCCTCTTCTCCCACAAATATTTAGTTTTCCCCAACCTTCAGCAAATGCAGTAATATATTTTCTGGAGTATAATATAGAAATATAAAATTGTCACATCTGTCTGTAGTCTCTTGTATCAATCACTGTTAACCAACGCTTCCTATCTTAAAAGCATTGTGTTTCCATATTGCTGGTAGTAGTGTTGGTATAATGCATTAATCAGCTAGTACTGTTGAATGGGAGTAATCTTTCATCTCTATCAACTAATAAAGTATAACTGAAGTCAGTATAGTGCATCTTGATCAGATCGTGGGCATAAGATTTTTTGCCAAAAAAAATCAACATTACACAGGAAGTAGTGGGATAGCAGTGCTGTCTTCTGCTGTGGTTAGTCTGAGTCTAGAATTTACTTGTTTAATACATAATGGTGACTGACCACTGAAGGGAAAATAAAGAACAGCGAGCGGTTTCTTCTGCCTATGTTGGTGCTAATACACTTCAACAATGTGGGTTGTTTGCAGTAGTTTGAGACTTTAGGGCGGTGCATAATTTGCAAATCCCTCAAAAGCTGTTTTTCTTGTAACCTTGTAGTTTTCTTGTGGTTATCAGACTAATTAATAAGCTCCACATAGTACTTCAATTAATTGTTACTGGTGATGGGGTATTTGTATTCCACTGAGTTACAGGCAGTGCTTTCCAATATATGGTGTAAATTCTCAGGCCTTTCCACCAGTTAAATATTGCTTCTGGTTATGCATCAATCTACATCCTGTGACTAGCCCCTTGTGGATACTAAGGTCTTAAACAACTGTAGAAGATGCTTCCCATGGTTCAGTGCGCGCAGGATGCTATTTGCTGCATTCAGTAAAGCTTTACATGCTCTAAACCGCAACTGCAGTTAGTGACTCCTAAGAATCCACCCTCACAACAGTATCTTGTGTGAAAGACACCTGTGATTATTGGGTTTAAGCAGAAAGTGAGACAGGACACAAAGTGATACATTTATTTACATATTGCAAAATACCAATTGTATGACATTTTTATTGCTGTGAATGTAATTTTAAATTTTTTGACATCCTCCCTTTGGCATTTGTTTTACTGTTCAAACGAAGCCCTCTTGTTTGCTCATGGCATTTCAAATGCTTATTAAAACCTCCCCTGTAGTAATTTTGACTAATCCATTCGAAATGATGCTCAAAGGATTGCAGTGTTTTTAAATAGATGTGACCTTGAACACGATTTATATAAAGTTAAGTTTCGACTTATCTGTCATGCATGGGTTCATTTTCTCAGCAATGCCCTCTTGCCCAATCTGTGCTGTCATTCCCTTGTTCCATCCTGGTTTTGGAGCACTTTAGCAATAGCACTTGAATTGATGCATCATATACAAGTGCTCACACCCCTTCATCCCTTTGTTGCTCCATAATCAAATTTTAAGAATGCACTGCCTTCCAAAAGGGCACCTCAGTTTCACTTTTCCAAACTTAGTACAGTAAAAGACCATTAAAATAATTCATTTAGAGAATTTTCCATGAGTAGGTGGCATACATTTGTGGAATTTTCATCCTGGTTTGGATACTTTTAAGCATGAAGATGGGTTTCTGCATGTGTCCGATCCAACTGACCTTTTTTTTGCTATATTAAATAAGATGACAACAAAACAAGCAAAAACTCCTGGTGAAACGGCTTGGTTAGTAATGTATTTTGCATAATGATCCATTAACTGCATTGTTTTTGCATCTACAATACATTTCATAAAAACATAGAATCTTACAGCAAAAAAGGAGGTCATTTGGCCCATTTGGCACAATTTGTGTGGATATTGGACTCACTTCTACAATTTTATTGCTGCTGATGTGCTTGATAACAGTCATATTGCAGTCTTAAAGCAAATGCAGATAAAAGTATTCCGATGGAAGCAAGTATCACAATATTTTCATTTTTAGCTACTTTGATTTGAGTTGTGATTTTTTATAAAAAATTGCAAACCTTCAGGCTGTGTCTGCAGCATTTATTTTTGTTGACAAGAGGTATGTTTACATTTCAGGTGATTTTGTCTGCTACAGTTAAATTAAGTTACTCAATACTGAGCCTCAGGCATGGCTATCTTCCTTTCATTGTCTATGCGCATCAGATCCAGTAGTTTGCATTTTAGCCTCTCAGTGCTATCAGATTCCACTTCATTAAGATGTTCTGCCATGTAGCCCAGCTCACATCACTCTTATATGAGATTGCAATGACAGCTTGGGCTGTGTTCCATTTTTTTCACTTCGTGTAGCAAGGCCTCCTCCTTTATCTCGGTGACTTAATGCTTCATCTGTCTGAGGAAGGATCCAGACTTCATCAGAGTAGCTAGCAGCATATAGCCACAGTGGTTCATTCTGTTCAAATATCACAGTTCATTCTGGTAACCATATGAGCCTTCCCTAAGGGTGACTTGCTAATCTGTTGTTTTGCAGATTATGGCTATATTTTTATTATATTAGCCATATAACTCGGTGGGGGGAGAATTATTAGAGTCAGGAAAAGAGTTGGCTCTCCTGGACCATTTTTGCTCACCATCTAGCAGCTGGTTATAGAGCAACATAGCACTGCCCAGAACTAGGTTGATTTCACATTCTTTCCAGAGGAATGGTACAGCTGAAAGTGGGGGAATACTAACCCAAGGAAGGAGAAGAAACAAATTCAATAAAACAAATTCCTATCTCATTGCCTGTAATATCCCACCCTCAGGATGGAAACCTTCAGTTAGCTTCAAATTTGTGTACCAATTCTTCAAGTATGGGTGAACTTAAACATTATGCTACCTGTGTCCAAGGGATGTGAATGGTTTTGAAACTCACAGCTAAGGGAGGTTCTCAGCTTGGTTTCAAAGCCCATACTTTAGTGTCTTAGTGCTACTAGCTGTAGAGGTGTGTCCATAGCCTGTTCTAGGCAACTTATAGTATACATTTTCTATTTTGCTATGGAATTTGATATTACCTACAATTATTCCACAATGGTTATAAATATACTGTATAGCCAGTACTTTTAAATTATCCTTCCTTCCCCACATCTGGTCCCTCACCAGCACCGCCTTCTTCCACCTCAGATGCATCTCCCAACTCCGCCAATACCTCTCTCCGAAAGCCGCTGAAACCCTTGTCCATGCCCTTGCCACCTCTCAGCTGGACTATTCTAACGCCCTCCTCGCCGGCTCTCCTCCACTACTATCCACAAAATCCAGATTATTCAAAGCTCTGCCGCCCAGATTCTCACCCGCACCAAACTCCGCTCCCCGATTACCCCAGTCCTTGCCAGACTGCACTCCTCCGGATCTGGCTTCCTCCTTGTCCCCCGAGTCCTTCGCTCCACCCTCGGCGGCCGTGCCTTCAGCCACTATGCCCCGAGGCTCTGGAACTCCCTCACTCCCTCAGCCTCGCTCTCTCTCTTCCTATTTTCAGGTCTCTGCTGAAGGCCTTTTCGACCGTGCCTTTGGTCACCTTCCTCCCCCTCCCGCTGGCTCGGCCCCGGGATCCATTACTGTGAAGCTCTCTGAGATGCCATCCGGCGTGGAGGGCACTATATAAATCCAAATTGTTGTTGTTAAAATTGTAATAGAAAATGTTTGCTTGTTTGCAAATCTGTGTTGTATTATGAATATTTGCACAAAGCTGATTCTGATGTTTTATTGCAGTGTTGACAACTCTGAAGATCCAGTTTATGAAAGTTTAGAGGAGTTCCATGTATTTGTTTTGGCTCATATATTACGAAGACCAATTGTTGTGGTAGCAGATACAGTACTGAGGGACTCGGGAGGTGAAGGTTAGTCTTGCTTCTTATTCTCGCCCTTCCCAATTCCAGCTGCTGCTCTTCCCACTGCTAGGGAGTTTGCACAGTACAACTGAATTCAAATGAACCAAGGCATTTCTTTTAAAGCTGACCGATGAAACTGAAGCTAATTATTGAAGATGCAAGTTGATTATAATTATATTCAGGCTTACAATTCAGCTCCTCCTAGAATAGCCATTTTCTTAAGAAGTATTTCAGATGTGTGAAAGTCAATATGGGATGCAAATAAGATCCAGTTTATGAAATTTGAGAGGATTTCCATGTATATGTTTTGGCTCATATTACGCAGAGCAATTATTGTGTCAGCAGCTAACAGTACAATAATAGTGCTGTGTTCTTTATTAGATGTATGTCTATTACAAAGTTTTTTTTTCGATGCAGCATTTGCACCAATACCTTTTGGAGGAATTTACTTACCTCTGGAAGTGCCTCCCAACAGATGCCACTGCTCACCTTTAGTCTTAGCCTATGATCAGGCCCATTTCTCAGCACTTGTGTCTATGGAACAAAAGGACCAACAAAGGGAACAAGGTATTTCCACATTTGTGTTTCTTTAACACTTGCTGTTTATAATATGTTGCTGACTAGCCAGATTGCATATTATCTAGTTGCTTTACTCTTTCATCTACAGCAGCTTTCTTTTCCACCAAAAATATAGTAAGTGTCCAAGTGAGATGGGAAAGAACTTCCTATATATAGTGTGTGTGTTTGTTTGTGCGATATGCAAATGCCGTTTGTGTGGAGTCTGTCTGAAACAGGGTTGTAGTTGATGTTGTCTGAATTTGCATGTCTCTCTACCTTTTGATGAAGTAAATTTCATTCTGTGTTCATTTGGGTTTAATTAGTTAGCTGTCTGTTTCATGAAATTTCCCGCATCTGAGATGTGCTTCAATATTTAATATGGACAACAGCTTGTTCACCAGGTGGAAGAAATGTGAATTTTTTGATTAAGGTTGGGATATTGTCAGATTGGAAATCCCATTCTCCCCCAACTATAAATCAGGAGCTATTGTTAAACAAGAATTTAGTTTAAGTGGAATCTGCCCTGAGAAAAGAAGAGGCTGAAAGTCCAGATCAGAATGAAAAGCTGTTAATTCAATTTAAGAAAGAACTGTTGTAATCAGCCAGGGCTATATGTTGGAGTAAAATCTAAGTTTTTATTTTAGAATAATAGAAATTTACTGCACAGAGGGAGGCTATTCAAATCTGCACCGGCTCTCAGAACAAGATGTTCGTACAATCAACAACAACTTGCATTTATATAGCGCCCTCACCCCAGATGGCATCTCGGAGCACCTAAATCCCATTTCTCCTAAGCTCCCCTTTCACTGTTCTTGTGACTCTCGTATAACTATGGCCCCTATGTTTTATGTTTTTGTTTGTGTCTTACAAATAAAAGATCTGTTTAAGCTGCCATTCATTTGCCGATTTTCTGTGTTGCTCCAAGGACTAGGAAAGGTATTCTGCCTTCTGAAAGAGAAGTTCTCAATTCAGAATATTCACAAGTAGATTTGATGAAGGCATATAACCTTGTTAAAAACTCATGACAAATAGCTATGTCAGCATGCAAGTTGTATAGATGCATCTAAGAGAGGCAAGGTCATAACTTTATGTGTATGTGTGTATGTCTTCATCAGTCTGTAGGTAGCTGATATTGCAAATGTTATCTGATGCATTTCAGGCAAATTCAGATTTACTGTGTGATTGGTTTCTGCTCATGTTTGAACAACCCTTTGTTACATACTTCTGACCTTGTCAACATTCATAAATTATCACCTGACCTAAGAGTTGAACATAGAAAAGAAATGTTCTATACAGAAGGGGCTATTCGGCCCACTGTATGTGCCACTATTTCTTTATCTAAATTGCTTTCTTTGATTAATTCTACTTTGCAGCTTTCTCGCTATATCCTTTAATATTTCTACTGCTCAGTTCCCTTTTGAATGATTCTATTGATGCAGCCTTACAAGCTTCTTGTAACAAATTCCAAACCCTAACAACCTTCTTGAGTGAAGAAATTCCCCCTAAACTCTCCTGTAATTTTTCTGCTCACAATCTTCCCTCTGCTTTTCCTTGTCACCAATAATTTGTTCCTTATCTTGTCCTGCCCCTTCAATAAATTAAATGTCTCTATCATATCTCTTTTGATCTCCTCTGTCCTAATGAAAAAAGCCAATAAATTTAACCAGCCTCTCTTCATATGTATATTGGATCATCTTAGTGAATCTGCACTGCACCCTCTCCATCTGTACGACATGCTTCCTGTAATGGAACGGCTAAACCTGATCACAATACTCCAACTGCAGTCTAACCAATATGCAATTCCAATATAAGTTTCCTCCTTTTATATTCAGTATCCCAGTTTATAAATCCCAGAACACAATTTCCCTGCTTGTTAGCTTTCTATACCTGTCACTGTACTTTTGGTGATTGATTTATTTGTACCTCTAGATCCCTCTGCTTCTTCATTCCTTTATGTGTTTTATCCTTCAGGCTGTACTTCTACCCAAAATGTTGTACCTCACATTTATCTGTAGTAAGCTGCATGTAACATTTGTCCAACTATTTATCTAGTCTGTTCATCCTCTCCTTATTTCTTATACAGTTCTTCTCACAATTTGCCAGTATAGCCAATTTTATGTCACCTGTAAAATTAGCCACAAAAAAACTCCTACTGTGTCAATGTCCAAGCCTTTGATCTCTATTGTAAAGGCAACAGATGCAGTACAGACCATGTGGAAAACAACGAGTAACATCCTGTTAGTCTGAGAAATTCCCATTTCCACAGTGTTGTGGCATTGCTTGTAGCTACCCATCCCTGAGTCATTGGGTTTGTAATGTGTATTCAGTATTGAATATTTATTTGGTAAAGCAATTTCTTTAGGGTACCCTTAGGCTCACTGCCTTTGTACTATGGTTACCATCTTGACGGATAATAATAATAATCCTTGCATTTGATATAGCGCTTTTCACGTCTTCTAGACGTCTCAAAGCGCTTCACAGAATATGCTGTAAAGTGAATTAACTGTATATTTGTGGGCGAAAGTTACCCATTTCCTCTACCTTTTCCTCCATCACTACCTGGCTGTGGAGTGACCATCTCCTGGAATGTGTATCCAGAAACAACTCCTGGTATTCCCTAAGTTCAGCATCTTCAAGCTCAAGTGAAATGCAGCCAAACACCTATGCAATTCTGATAACCTGAAGTATTCGAATGCCACCAGAGCCAAGAAACAAACTTAGATGCAAAATAAATGTATTTATTTCTCTGGCCATCCATCACTCCCTCCTTCCCTCTATTGCAACAAGCAGATCTCACTGAGACTGACATCAACGAACAGCCAGGTGTGCTTTTGAGTCAAGCAGCTGTTTCCAGCTCAGCAGAAACTGCAGCAATTCAGCTCTCGTACAAACCAATTCTTTTTTGCTATTTCTCAGCAGAACGTATTGAATGGAATGCACAGAGTTGAGCTAACTCTATCTAAATATCAGTTTTTAATTTTTATTCCGAAATGTGACATCCATCATTTTAGCTGTCCTGCATAGTGCATTAAGCCTTTGCCAACATGCCATTTCTTGTTTAAAGAATGTAAGCTTACCTGACTGGTGGACCTGTGCTCCTTCCTTCGAACCTGAAGATAAATATTTGCCAGGTCTGTGATCTGATACAAATCAGATGGGTGCATCTAGTTAAACATAGCTTGAACATGATAGAAGCTTGCATTGTGATTGCAATGCAATACATAGTGCTGATAATGAGTGTTACATCGCACTTTGTGTAAATATTAGCCTACATTAATTATCATGCTTGTCGTTGGATTAGCTTCAAATTCAGACAGCCCCGAGTACACTAGTCAGCATTGAGTGCACAAGTTTTTCTCCCTGGAAGTTATAGTCTGTCGTGGTAGACATACTCAATGATGGGTAGGAAGGAGTTGCAAGTTATCTGCGCATCACAGGGCTTAGAAGATGTTCTTCATCACAACAGTGAAGATGGGGTTTTAGATAAATTTGTCTTGTTACATATTCTTGTCAATACACAAATCGTTGTACTCCCTTTAACTCTTTCGAAACACTTCACCTTGCTACCTCTGTCTCCATGTCTTCAGTCGTCTCAAAATTCCTCCTCCTTGCTCAGCGTCCACAGCTTTGTTCCAATCTTTTAAAAAAACGACACAATATAAATGAAAATTATTGTTGTAAGGTTTTCTGGTCAGCCAGGTGCCTGATGTGTAGAAATCTGGTGCTCTGCTCCTATGACAGTTCCAAGAACTCACAGAATCAGAGTTTCTTTCTGTTTGTCATTTCTTTCCCGGGCAAGCCCACTCTCCTCACCACGCCCAGAAAACACAATTGGGGTTGACAGAATCCGAAGCATGGTGGTGGGTTATTGCTGGAATGATGTCTTTGGCAAATATCTTTAACAAATGGGTTAGAACAACCTGGTTTATTACTTGTAATTTGCAAGTGATTAATTGTTAATAAAGTTGAAGTGATTATCTTGCAATTATCGAGCCCTCACAGTGCAGATTTCATCGCACACCAGCTGCTTATTGTCACCAGATGCTTCACAAAGCACTTGCTTTTAGAGACGCTGTAATTTGTAACTCGGGTTACAAACACACACTGTAGCTAGTGTGACAGATATTTCATTCATATACAGTTTTGAAATAAAATTGATTTAATCTTAGTGCGACCTTTTGTTAAAGAGCGTCCATATGGATCTCTAATTTAGTTTTTTCAGCGGCCAGCTTTAGCAGTCATGGAGCAGGCCGGTAGGTTTATGCTGCCATCTGGTGGTAGCAGAAGTCTCACATCTGTGTCTTCGAAGCACAATAAACTGGAACATCACTATGAAAGCAATTTATTTTAAACAAGCCACTTGTGCTTGGAACAAAATGCTAGAACTTTAATTCACTTGCATTTGGCAGAAATAATTTGACTTGATATTTCAGGACACAAACCATGAAAAGATAACTTCAAATTGTGATTTTCCTGCCCCCCCCCCCCCCCCCACACACACACACACATTTGGGTGAGTGCATTTTGCTGTAAAGGAGATAATTGAGGTAGGATGACCTTGGTGTCTGAGTCGCAGCTGTTGAAACTATGGAAGCTTTTAGGTGATAGACCTTGCTGCAATTGTCTTGAGGCACATTATGTCCTCCGATCTAACCATGAAAATTATTTGTTCTGAAATTTCACCGCACCATTGCAAAGCCTCCAGAAATGAACTGTTTATTTAGCATCACAAACTAGCCCTGTGCACCACTAAATTAAGTTTAGAGTAACAACACAAACCGGTCTACAATAACAACAACTATTGTTCCATACAACAGCTGTCCTTCTGTTGAAAAGAAACCTTTAATGCTTTACTAACTGGCAAGTAGAAGACTGTTTCTAAACGTTGCCGTGCTGTGTTTGTCCTTTAGCTGCCATCCCCTTGACTGATGCGGAACACAAGTTGCTACCTTTGCACTTTGCAATGGATCCTGGTAAAGATTGGGAATGGGGAAAGGATGACAATGACAATATCAAACTGGCCAAGTAAGCTGATTTGATTCTTTCTAACGCTAATTTCAAATCTTGTTGAATATTTGTTATGCTCTAAACTGTTAATCGGTTGTAATACCAATCCACTGATGTGAAACATATATTGCAGTGGCAACATTGTTTTTAGGAGCTCAAAGGTCCTTACATCAGATGACCGAAGTGTTTATTTTAATATTCTTTTAGGAGAACTCCCATTGCTTTGTGAAAAATGAATAGTGTTGAATATTTTACAGGAAAATGTTATTTTATGTTGATATGGTACCGTGCATTTCTTCACTGTTAATAAATACAGCTCAAATCCCCAAGGAACAGCCAAGACGCTAAGTTAGAGAAAGCTGTCACACCTACCGTACACCAGTTAGTTCATTCAAAAAGACATCAAAGACATCTCTCCGTTCTTTAAATCAAACCAAAGGGTCTGTTTCATTTTAAGTGTCAGCTTCTCTAATTCAGCAACATTCTTACTTATGGGCCAGAAGCTTGTGGGTTCAAGCCCCACTTCGAGACTTGAGCTGTCTCGAGGCTGACACTTCAGTGCACTACAGTGCATTGTTGGAGCAAGAGGTTAAGCGGTTACATCTGTTGAGGTTAAGATCCATTAACACTGCACAACTTGACAAGAAAGATGTGTTGTTATTTATAGATCCTTGTTCAGTGCCGAATAGTTCAGAGTTTTTCCCTGACAAATATATAGTTTTTACCTGTGAAGTGTTTTGACCTGTGAAGACCTTTATAGGCCTGTATCAAATGCAAGGATTATTATTTTTAAGTTGATGCTTTCAGTTTATCAGATAATTAAGCAGCTGCTCTTTCCATGTTATTTATTTCTTGATGTTTGATATCATTCTTCCATTAAAATTTATTCTTCATTTGAAAGATATTGTTCCCTTGCAGCGTACTGAGAGAGCAAGCACACAACCTGAAAACAGCTCAGTTGCATTTGTAACAAAGCATCCTTCCTCCATTTTTGTGGAGAGCTTATCTCCACTGCACATCAGAGCGGTGGTACATTTATGTTCCATTATTAGGTCACACTGCTGAGGTATGTAAATCGCCCAGCCAACATAGTGTCGCCCCTATTTGTACAAACAAACCTGAATAACCCTAATGCTCCATGCTGGAGCACTTTGTTAGGGCACCACTCTATTAGTGAGTACCATTAATGCATGCCTGTAGTGTGATCACTTGAAGCTATTTCTGAGCCTATTCTACAAGGTTTTGCCCTGATTTTAAGAAGGAGGTTTTGGCTCCATTTGATTTACACAATATCAGGTGCTTTCTTTTCAAAACTTATACCCTTACAGTAAGACGAGCAGTCAATTCAATCGTGCTATTTTTCACTTAGACATCTTATTACTGTATATTTTTTTTCCAGTTTGATCCTGTCCTTGGAAGCGAAGCTCCATCTACTGCACAGCTACATGAATGTAACTTGGATCTGTATTCCTGCCGAATCCCGGGTAAAATGCTTCCCAATCTAATATGGGGTAGAAAGAGAGGGACTATTGCCCATTAGTGTGGGGGTTCTGTGAGGGATTGCAGAAAGCAAAACATGCCTGGTTACTCTGAATTCTTACCTTTAATTGTTAGCGGTCCAAGGCCTGAAATTCAACCCAGTCTTTGCCTGTAAGACTATTTTGTCTTAAAATTTTAAGGTTGTGCAGAAATGTTTTGAGAACTGCAGAAGAGAATGAATTCCAAAAGTCGGTATTTTAGATGATTCCACAATTCTGCAGATTCTTAAATTTTAAGATAAAGCAGCCAATGCATGCCTGGAGTCTATGAACTTTAACTGTTAACAGATTGAATTTTTCATCCACCATTTATACTGAGACAAATTTATCTTCTGCTAACTCAGAAATGGACCATTGCCAGAGTTTTTAGTGACCAGTTGTTCAGATGTTTTGTATATTTCTAACTGAACCACTACTAGCTGGTGGATTGTGAACCCCAAACCATGCATGTATCCTTCACAGGGTTTTAGTTTGCTTTTAAGTCTCTCGCTTGGTCTCTGCAGGTTATTTCTCAAACAACATGATGTATAGTTATAAAAATATCAATTTACTCATTTACGCATTAAACAAAATCGTGTAGATATTTTTCACAAGCATGATGTGGTGCATGATACTGAAGTGCTGTGAAGGGTATGCTTTGGTTCAGGTTAACCATGGTGTTTTTGTATTTGATAGGCGCCCCTGGCCCAGCCTGAATCTCCAACTGCTTCTGCTGGGGAAGATGTTCATTCATTGGCAGATTCGATGGAGTCAGACCGAGATTCCATCTGCAGTAATTCCAACGTGAATGGGAACAAAACCCATAAAGAGAAAGAAAAAGATAAACAAAAAAAAGACAAGGAGAAGAACCGGACAGATTCAGTGGCAAATAAACTCGGCAGCCTTAGTAAAACATTGGGGATTAAAATCAAGAAGAATATGGGGGGACTTGGGGGGTTAGTGCATGGAAAGATCAGCAGAGGAAACTCCAATGGCCGAAATGGGGAGACCTGTGATAAAGTGAAGAAGAAAGATTCAAATAAATCTCGGAAAGCCAGCAAAGAAGAATCGGTGAATTCTGCTGGTTCCTCCCCCACTGACAAGGTGAATGTTCTGGCTAAATCCCCACTTGAGAAACAAAATGATCAGTGTAAGTATAGCACCGATGTCAAACTCAGCCTCAACATATTGAGAGCTGCTATGCAAGGAGAGAGGAAGTTCATTTTTGCTGGCCTTCTATTGACCAGCCATAGGCACCAGTTTCATGAGGAGATGATCAATTACTATTTGACCAATGCTCAGGAGCGCTTCAATGCAGAACAGGAGCAGAAACGCAAAGAGGCTGAGAAAAGAGCATTAAATAATTCTGTGGGCAAAAAAATTGAGCAGGAAGCATATCAGAGAGGAAAGCTGGAAAGCAGTTCTCAGGAGGACTCTCTTCAAGGCTCATCTCAAAGCCATACAAGTCAACCGGCGTCAAAATCATCGGAGAGTAGTAGCCCAATGATAGAAAGCACTCCAAAAGCTGGAACTCTAGCATCTGCCCACTTCAGCCACATGCCAGCTTTGCTCCGACACAATGTTATTCACGTGTCTGAACTGAACTCTCAGCCATCAAGCTATCAAACTGACAATCAACAGCCCATCATTGGGTCTCTAAAAACGTGTTCAACCTACCCACAACATAGCCGTTCATTGTCTTATCAGAGCTACTGCCCCACAGGTCTGTCAGGGTTTCCTACTGTACAAACAATGGAGCCGCTCAAGTGTTCGCTGCCTTCTGAACACAAGAGTCATACGTATACTAATGGCTTTGGTACAAATGATGTGAGAGACTACCTGGAATATGCAGATGAAGAAGCCCCTTCAGTGTGGCTGAATGGTGACAAAACCAAAGGTAGAAACACGACTGGCCCTTCTTACTGCATACAGCAAAACCGATGCAAGCAGCAGACCTGCTCCTTCTACGGCCGCATGGAGACTGAATACTACTGTTCCTATTGCTACAAAGAGGAGCTTAAACGCAGGGAAAGGGAAAGCAAGTCTGTTTCACCGTGAAGATAACGTGGATTGTTTCAGTTTGTTTCAGAGTTAGCCAAGTCCATAATTGCAAGTATTTTGATGGAGCAATTTAATAACTATAGCATTTATTTATAAATTTTGAACAATGCAGGAAGGTCATTCATTACACTCTGAGAATAGCACTGAACTGGTTAGGGGAGCCGTCCTGGGATCGGATCTATGTGAATACATTGCAATCCTTTGATGAATGTCTGTGTCTCCAGGATTGTTGCACTGGCCTAGTTGTTACCCTGGATCCTGAGGGTACATTGGACCTTTCCTTTCGCTACTCCCATAGACTGTTACCAAATAGAAGATGGTGATTATTACTCCTACATCTGTTTTTTTATTACACTACTTCAAAATAATTACCAGGAGATAATTTGCACATTAGTATCCAATGTAATAAGTACCACAGTGAATATAGCAGAAATGAATTATTTATGTGTTTGTGGACTTAGAAGATGCATTATGATGGAAATTTACAAGCAAAGAAACGTTAAAATTGTAATATAGAAATTATTTTTATATTATTTTCACAAATATGCTACAAAGCAATATTTTGCGCTTTTTATTAAAAAACACAATTGCCACTTTACTAGATTATTTAATTGCAATGTGTAAGTAGAAGAAGCATACAATAGAGTATTAGACATGTATGTTTATACGGCACTAGTGAATTCTATTGAGTGGCCAGAGTCTGCATTCATACATTTTGATACTTTGTACATGCAGGTTTGTTTGAGAAATGTTTTTTTAACCAAACTTATTTTCAAACATTAATCAGTAGGGCGTCAAACATTTATTGTACCTCAGACTACCTGCTCCACAGCTTTGTGACGACTGCAGCAGGCTCTCAAAAAAGTAGACTGTACGCTCGTATTCGCTCGTATACCTGTGGATCCACTTGGCTGGCAATTCTCTGACTGTACGTGAGGTAGTGCATCTAACTCCCATGATTTCACATGCAGGAATCACTAGGATATCGCATTCACCTTGGCCTGTGTATTAATGATGTGCTTGACTCCTGGCCTAGTTCATACAGGAAATGAATCCCAGTGTTGGCAGAAGGTATTAATTCCCACTTCATTTGGTGGATTTCCTTTGTGAACATCAATCTATGGGAAAACTGATTTTGTGAGACTAGAATAGGGAGGGAGAGAAGCCATATTCCGGGCTAGCATTCCCATTCCAGTCCCTGCCTGCTTATATCCCCAGGAATGTAGTGAAAACATGAGAATGTAAACCAGAACATAATTGCTTCCTGATTTTACCTTATGTAACGTTACCTTGACCCTCCCCAATCCGGGAGAGAGGGAGACAAAATCTCCCGTAGAAGTGCAGTTACTCAGAAGTTTGTGTTACTCTTTGAGGTCTGACCATTGTTTGAAACGTCTTCGGCTGGGAAAGGGTTACAAATGTTTCAACAATGAAACCTTCATATCTGGAGGTAAATAATGATGAAAGTTCACCATTTGTGGCATGATTTTTCAGAATGGGAGCGAGCATGGGGAACTAGCAAACCTTTCAATCAGGATAAAGTATTCCTGATGAGTGAAAAAATCCATTGGTTAAAACTTTGGTTAACTCACTTTAGTTTAAGTTGACTTTCATTAATGGAGGCCTCGCAGCTCATCTTCACATTTACCAAGCAACATTCAGTCTTCTGCAAAACCTGATTGCTAGTGTAATCCTTATGTAAGAACACTTATGAATTTGGATTAATATGTGCTTTTATCAGAGCTGCTATGACATTGGAGCACAGTCTCTTCTCTTGTTTGCTCATGCATAGTTTGACTGCTTTATCACCACAGCACTGAATAATTAAACCGGTTATTCTGTTGTGTATCTTTCTGAATTAAACAAATTAACACTGTTTGGAGTAAGGTTTAATGGGACTGACCAATTTATCTGTTCATTGGAGTTTTAAAGCTCCGTTTGTTTTGCGATAGGTACACGTTAGTGTTATTTCTAAAACGTTAAACTGCAAACATCTCAGCACTTTTGAAGTAAAACTCTTTCCTTTGTTTTATTTTGTTAGCGATTTATTCCAGTACATGCAGGCTATGTAATCTGTACAGTCTGCGTGACATTCAGCTTCTCATCTGCTGCAGACCTTAAAGAGGTAAAGTCAATTAAACAATAAAAGTAGCTCTACAGCAAATTTAATTTGTTTATTGAATGTTTGTCTAATTTCTGAACAAGCTTTTATTTGTATCAAAAGAGTGATGCCACGTTTAGTTTAAATTTATTTGTTCCGAGCAAGAGTGGGTAGTGTCTCTGCTGGGAATGGAATGGACTTTCACCATCTGATCCAGTGTTGACATAGAGCACTCTCAACACAAGTTAGACACAGAGTAAAGTTTCCTCTACACTCCGCCTACACAACACTCCCAGGTCAGGTACAGCGTGAGTTTACATACAAAGTAAAACTCTCCACCAGCTTTTAGTACAAAGTGTGGTTTGAATGTGTACTTCTCTGGCATAAACTAATTGAAGCAGAGCCCATCAACTATTTTAACAGGGAATTACTAGATGCTTGAAGATGAGGAATATTGAAGGGTATGGGGAGTAGTGACTTGGAGAATCTCAGTAGGTTAGATCAAATACCTGCACAGACTAAACACTGAAACTTTCTGTTAATCTGTGTCCTAACAATGTCTTTTACCTCCCCTTTCAGGAAAGTGCTGCAATATGCATGTGATTTATAATATTTAGAAGGGATCTATTTAAGGTAGAAACAGTTATAAAGGCAGGCAGTAAGTGGTAGAGTGAGAGGAGAACCATAAAGACATTTTATTGATTCTCTGCCGTAGAGAGCAGGACTCCTGCTTCACACACTAGATTCTGTTCTGCCAGTAAATTGATATTCACCACTGGTGGATGGGGACCGCTTTGGAATTCTTTATTATAATGTGGCCGGGTTAAGAAATGAGATTCAGTTAGCTTTTAAGCTTTCAGTTAAGTTAAACTACGCTCCTTGTAGGAATTCCGTTTTTACCATGCATTGGAAACTCGCGCTCCTTGTCCCTTCTTGATTCCATTAATTTATGTCTGTGCTATAAAAACATTAGTGGTCTAGACATATTCCTCATTAATGTCAAAACAACTCGCCAGGACATGTATGAATCTGTAGGTCTCCAGTATAATATTCTGTAAGCTTGTCAGGCTAAAGTCAGACAGGAATGCAGTCAGTGCTGCTCATTAGCCAATGTTTTCCCTTTTGTCACCCTGATTTTTATCTTCCTCTCCCTCTGTGTGGTTTCAGCTATAAAGAATATTGGGCAGGAAGGATTTGCAGATATTCAGGCGCATTATAGACTGAAAGAAAAACTCCTTGATGTTTTATTATTTTCAAAACTCTTGAGAAGGGATGTTTTCTTTATAACAAGAATTCAGTCTGACCCGTTGCCACTGTTCTTTCTGACTCTACCCCTCCGCTGTGAGGCCATGAACATCGATAACACAAGGGGTTATGATGGTATTTGTGTTCATATGCAATACTCACATATACATTCACAAACACACACAGAGAGACATACAGACACAAAAACATACAGAGGAAAGAGACACTCACATAGACATTTGGACACAGAGAGATACACACTGTTGAGTGGAGTGAAGCCCATTTTCTACTTGCAGGTCCAGAGCCGCTCCGCCCACAGTACTGTTGGGAGTTGTTCCTCCTAGGTCCGCTTCACCACCTTGTTGAGGATTGTCTCTAGTTGTTAGTACTGGCTCCTGGTCTCTCGCAGGTCCGTCCGCTGCTTCTAGCCGCCCCACCCACTTAAATCGGGTAAACAACCGAGGGCCCGGGGCCAGAAACTACATTTTTAAACAGGTTTCTAGCGGAGGCTCTGTTTATAGTGGATTCCGCAGAAAATTGCGGCCACACTTTTCTATTGGCCCAGGCCATGAGAAAGGAGTAGTTAAGCCTTTAGCCCTGAAAAGACATGTCTCAGAAGATTTTATAGAGGTTATGCAAGATTCTAATTGAAATTGAGTCAACCCAGAATACGTTCAGATATGCTAAGGTAGCAGAAGATGGGCATTGGGTTATGATGGCAATTTCAGGATAGGTATAGGGAATTATTTCTTTACACTGAGGTTAATTAATGGCAAATAGGTACCTGGAAGAGTGATTGAGGTCAGGAAGCTAGACTTGTTTAAGAAACAGCTCGGTACTGTAACAGGAGGACAACAGGAATAGGTATTCTGGAAGGATGAAATTAAATAGCCTGAAGGAAATTCAAACCTCTTTTGCAATGCTCTTCTGCTTTTAATATTTTTAGTGTCTTCAATGGAAACAATAAACCATTTTATGGGGTCTATTCTGTGGTCCTTGTAATTGGTTGAACCTGTTTTTATGATGTGACTTTATGATGGTGATGATGTTCTGCCACTAGGAATATAATGATTTTACTGATATCTCACTGTATATGGCCACTGTATTTTTCTGACATCAGAAGCTCCGATTCTCACTGTGGTGTTTTGCTTGTTGGGTCTAGGCCATCTCAATGCCACATCCTGCTGAGTTACTAATGCCATTGCACTGCAATGCGGAACAACAGATTTCCAACAGCTTCAGGATTGGGGATAGTGTGCACCTATATATCTATGTATGTGTGTGTGTATGCATGACGTGAAAAAAATAGAGGAAGGGAACTCCACAAACTTGTGAATATAGTCAGGAAATGATCAGGCTTTGTTTGACCCGTGGTCACAATTGTAACTGAATGGCATTTTTGATAAATCAAATCTTAGGAACTGATGTCGAGGTGAATTATTTTTTAAATCCTCGGATCCTGGGAGCATTTAACAAATGTGAAAGATATTATTACTGTTACTATTTTCTCTCCCTTAATTTGAATTGCCAATTTCATGTAAACTTAAAGATTATTAATGGTTTCTTTACTGAGAATTGTGCTGCTCTGCAAGTGGACAGTAGATGGTGCTGGTAAACAAAGTCCTTGAGTTGATAAGTTCTTGTCACAGTATAACCAGCAACTCAACACCAGGAAAATAGACTAAGAACACAAAGTACGATTCCCACAAGGAAACTAATGTAGGTCACACTGATCCACAAAACCATCTCCAATTTGGGGTCTCAAAAGTCGGCCCGATATATGTGGGTATTCTCACAGGAGTTATACTATGTTCCCTGGGGCCTTGTTCTATGTTTTCACCAGTTACACTGCCCCCGCTACAAACCCTTTATTAACCCCACTGTTGAGACATGCTAAACTCAAATTTGATTAAATGTATATGTTTAATTTTCATCTTATTCATTTTCCAAAAAAAGGCCCATGACCTCCATGAATGCAAAGCAAGAATATACTATTTTATTATTTTTCTCCCCTCCACCTGCAGGTGATGCGATTAATCCAAGTGACTGAAATGGGCAGCTGTTATTGAAACTGTGGGATTGACTTCAGGAGGTCCGATGGGTGGACATTGCATGGAAGCACCTGAAGAAGGCGATAACACAGCTTTATCATTACCAGTGAAGCCTTACAAGGATGGAAGTGATAGTCTTGTAGAGACTTTGTAGGAGAACTCTGGCAACAGTACAGGATGGTCATAAGAGTAGAACTGGGAAGGTCAAGCAAGCAAGGCATTGGAGATATCAATAAAGGCATAGATGAGGTAGCAATAGATATTGCTTAACATGGAGGAAAATGCAGAAGGCTAGCTTTAAGAACTGGAGAGGTGATACATTTGGCCACCAGAGCTGATTAGGTAAGAGTTGAGGGAGTAGATCCCAACCAGAAAAGGAATTTTTAATACCAAATACCCATTGAGCCCCGAGTTTGAGATGTCAGTTCATAGAGATGATTTTTTTGATCAGCTATTACCATGAGTAAGAATAAGTGAGAGTTCCACATATGCATGCCTCCTATACCTGGAAGTTAATAGTAATAAATAATAATCTTTGTATTTCATATAGCACCTTATCACGTCAACATCTCGAAGCACTTCATAAAGTTTTATACATTTGTGGGTGAATCCAGCAGCCAATTTGTGCACAACGATATTCCACAAACAGCCATGAAATGAATGAATGGTTTTTCAAATGTGGAAGATTCTTTCCCAGACTACTATAAGAAAATTCCATTTTTGAACTATGCAATGGGATCTTTTAACATCCACCTGAACAGGCATATAGCACCATGCTTTAGTGCCTTATCTGAAGTATTGCATCTCTGATAATGCAACTCTTCCCCCATTAGCTGTGGGGTGGTGGTATCAACAATAACTTGCATTTATATTAGCACCAGGGTGGCGTCTTGGAGGGTCATGATCCCTGAGAGAGGGGAGCTTGTTCTGTTTCCAGGTGCTATTTAAATTCCATTTGCAGAAATCTTCTACAGGTCCTGAGATGAATTGTTTTAAAAAGCATTAAAGGTGCCATAGGCTACAGCTGCGATTCTGCTTGAATGTGACATGAATTATAAGATGCCTTGGCTGGAGGTCATCTCTTTGGAGATGCTACGGGGAACTGGCAGGGCTCAAGCCCACGCTGGAAGCATCAGAACGGCTGTGGTCACTGAGCGAGCCAGGCTGGGAACTGTGCTGGAGGCTGATGCTGTATAGGAGACTATGTGGTGGGCTGCCGTGTCGCCTGGCATGCTTGGTGAGGTGGTCACTGCGCATGAAACGCTTATTACAGACCAGGCAGTGGAACTTCTTTTCTCCAGTGTGCGTGTGGAAATGGCGGGCCAACTCATCAGACCGGGCAAACCTCCTGTCACAGTCTAGCCAAGTGCAGGGAAATGGTTTCTCACCTGTAAAATACGGAACATAATGTTTCAGCGGAGGGTGAGATGCACAGACCCTTGAGCACTCTGGGTCACCCACCCACCACAACTGTGCTGATAAATAGTAAACTAATAGCCACTTATTTACAAAGAAAGATTTTGCATTTTCACGGTTAATAGAAGTGAGGACTTTGCTGGTGGAGTTCCTGATCGATACTGTACCAAAACGAAAGGGAGAGGTTAGGAGAATTATTTTTTGCACAGAGGTAGAACACTGGCACACCCTTAACTGAGACATAGACAGCCCTGCTAAAAACGGTGGTTGAAGCAGGATCCAGATGGATTTTAAAAGGGAATTAGACAAATGTTTGAAAGAAGTTAAAATTATATGCAGGAAGGACAGGCA